AAGGTTGGGGGAACCTGCTGCAGCTAATGAAATGAAAATGAGAAGTTCTGTTTCTGGCAATATGGAATACTAGGTGTTAAAAAATGGTCCTTTAGAGCAAAATACCTAAAAAGAAAGAAAAATTGGAAAAATTATATATTAAAAAAATGCATAGTTGTATTGGCAAGAAAGGAAAATTTTTAAGGGGCCAAAAATGACAAGAAAGCACAAATCAGAGAAAACTACATTTGGGACAAATCTCAAGGTGTGAGCAACGTAGGAAATAGGATCAAAGACTTTTGCCTGAAGCTAGTGCTCCCAAAAGGTGATATCATTTGTGAAAAGAGGAAGTAGGGAAAAAAGTGCCCCCTCAGTGGAAGCCCAGTAAATACAACTGCCCAACCTGCCCTTGGGATCCTAGGAAGGATAAATTTCTCCTGAGAAACTCATAACCATGAGTCACTCTCATTGGATTTAAGGCTAGAATTCCCATTACTAATATGAGCTGGAAAATCCCAAGCTGAGAATCCAAAATAGTCTGAGTTGGGTAGTGTCTCCAGGTACCTGATAGGAGCAAGTAAATTTTCTCTGAAAATTTCTTCTTCTTACTTCTCTGCATCTTGATTTCAGGCCTTAAAGAATTCCTACAGATATAATTCCAATGAACATTAGCTCAAAATTAAAAATCATAAAATATATGAGGAAATAAGATGTCATGGCTTGCAATCAAGAGAAACTTCAAGAATCAAAATCAGAAGTTTAAAAATTTCAGATATTAGAAATGTTGGATACAAAATATAAAAAGAGGTATTAAAAGTGTAAGAAGTTATCAAGTATATATTTTTTTTAAAAGAACCAATTAGGACTTGTATAAATGAAAAATATAACACCTGGCATTTAAAAGTTTCAGTTAGAGAGTTAATGAACTGGAAGATAGATATGAAATAATTACTCTGAAAGCAGAGAAGAACAAGGTTGAAAATATGAGAGGTAGGGTAAGAGAAAGGAAAGATAGAGTGAGAAGGTACAATATACATTTAAGTAGAATTACGGAAAGTAATAATAGAGATAATGAAGGAGATGCATGCCCAAAGTTATAATGAAGGAAAAATTTCCATAACTGATGAAATAGAGGAATCTTTAGAAATCCTTATGAATACCAAATCCGGTAAATTGGAAAGCCACACCTAGACACACTGTATTGAAGTTATAAAATGTAAAGATAAACAGATCTTGAAAAAGCTACAGAGAAAAGAAAAATAAGCTATGAAGGAATGCTAATAAGTTGATAGCTGACTTCTCAGCAGCAGCTATGGAAATTAAAGGAAAGATATACATTCAAAATCCTTCATTTAAAAATAGGTAACAAGCCAAATGTAACATCTAATGAATTAGCTCTTCAAAAGGCTTACATTGTATTAGCCTTAAGAAAACACCTTTTTACCTATAACTGGAATGAATTGGCCCACAAACTTGAAATACAGAACTTTTCCCCCTATATTTTCATGTAGCCACTTGATCACTCACATGTCCCATGTGCTTCATTATTGTGAAGCTCAGCATCTTGCTTTGAGCGTTCACATGCCCCTTAGATTGAATTGGCTAAGAATACTGGATACTTACTCCAAAGTGGATTAGTCCTCTTCTAATGCCAGATGTAGAGGAAAATGAAATTGGGTCAGTTTATATCACTCCATGAAGTTACTTTTTCACTGCCCTATGTATTGCAGTTGAATTTGGCCTTGAAGAATTCTGTAGATATTTGTCCATTACAAGAACATTTTGATGAGTTTAGATCATTGCACAATCACTTTCACTTATAACTTTCTTGAGTGACAATCATAACCTCCTGGAGAACAGTGGGTCACACTGACTACCACCACCACCAGCACCATTCTCAGATGCAAAACTATTGTCTTTATTTCTCAGGGCAGTCACCCTCCTTCTCAGGGTGGAGGCAGAGTTTTAAAACCATAGGAAATACCAAAGATCTTGTATTCATCTCTTCCAAGGCCATAACACCTGCTTAGTCTATACTTATATGACTAGGGGGACCACTCAATGACCTCATGGGATCTTCTCCAGGTGATCCTTTCTCCTCTGCTATAGACTGAACATTTGTGTCCCCTTGAAATCCATGTTGAACTCTAACCCCCAGTGTGATGGTACTTGGAAATTAGAACTTTGGGAGGTAATTAGGTCATGAGGGCAGGAGCCTCATGAATGGGATTGGTGCCCCTGTAAAAGATACCCAAGAGGGCTCCCTTGCTCCTTCCACCATGAGGGCAGAGTGAGAAGACAATTGTCTGTGAACCAGGAAGTGGTCTCACTAGACACCCAATCTGCTGGGACTTTGATCTTGGACTTACCAGCCTCCAGAACTGTGAGAAATAAATTTCTGTTATTTATAAGCCACCCAGCTTATACTATTTTGTTATAGCAACATGTACTAAGACATTCTTCTAAGCTAAAAGGTCTTTTCACTTCTTCACAGTCCACTTTTAGCAACTGACCTCAGGTGGGCAGAATGTACGTATATGATGACACAGTTGCCAACTTCTGCTAAAGGAGAACAAAACTCACACAATCAATTTCTTGTGGGACCACTCTACCAGGCAAACTACTACAACAGAAGTGCCTGAACAGACTTGTACCTGTGGGTTACAGGTGTGCTTGTGTGAAAATCTCACTCCTTGCTTATTTCTAAATAGGGAGAGTATGTCTGATGGTACATGATTCCCAGTGCACGATATTAACAAATATTCACATATATTGTGAGGGAGGGTGCAGGCAAATCTTAAAGTATGATCAGTAGATATCAAACTTGTTTTCCTTTTTTGGAAAATAGGTCTGATTGCTTGGCATGAATATTATGTTGGAATGAAGCAGCCACACTTCTCTCCATTCAGAACACTGACCTGTATCATGAGGACTGAAAGTAAATCCAGTGTCCTTAACCACATTCCTGCTGTGGCAAACATCTAGAAATCAGCTGTGGCCAGCAAACGTCTTTACATTTGTGTGTATATGTGTGTGTATACACAGGATACATTGACATTACTTGCAATCAGAGTACCTCCCTTGTGATCCACTCCAAGGAGATAAAACCCTGACACCTAAAATCTAACCACGCAAAAGGGCATTTACAAGTTACTAGGATTTTAAAGGAAAATGAATGTTCATTGAAGAGTAGCCTGTGTTGAGCTCTTGGTTTTTTTTTTTTTTAAAGATTTTATTTATTTATTTGAGACAGAGAGAATGAGAGAGAGAGAGCACATGAGAGGGGGGAGGGTCAGAGGGAGAAGCAGGCTCCCTGCCGAGCAGAGAGCCCAATGTGGGACTCGATCCAGGGACTCCAGGATCATGACCTGAGCCGAAAGCAGTCACTTAACCAACTGAGCCACCCAGGCGCCCAAGCTCTTGGTTTTTTTTACATGTGTTATTCTATATAAATGTTGGCTCATTGTTTTTAAACTACCTTATCATTTATTAAATGTGGTCAAGTAGCTCTGGATCCTTGATCTAGGATTTTGAAAAATCCTGTAGAATCCGTGCCTTATAAGAAATAATGAGTCACTTTCTTTCCAAGGTGCCATTTTTATTAAAATATTTGGAACACTTATTACAAAAATAATACATGCTCTTTATTTAAAACTTGCAAATAATATTTAAGTATATAAAGTAAAAACGGAAAGTTCCCTATACCCCTGATCCACCCCACTTCTCACTGAGAGCCACTGTTAACGGTGTTAGGTTTCTCCCTCTGGATCTAGTTTTATTTCCTGCATCTTACTTTTTTACCTAACACTGTATCTGTTTTAACCTCAGTACACACAGAAATATTTTATCCTTCCATGGTATTTCATAAAACAGATGTGCTGTAATTTATTTCTTTACCAATAGATATTTAGGTTGTTTTCACTATTTCATATATGAAAACATGTTTTTGGCAATGATTTTTGTACACATATCTTGGCACATTTGTCAGAATATTTCTCTTGACTAGATTTCTAGAAATTGCATTAATGTGTCAAAGGATCTCCATGTTTTACATTTTAATACATTGTATTCATTTAAAAATTTTTAAATTTTTTCCTGAGTTTTTCATTAGTTTAAGTTAGCTCTATTTTTTTGTTTGTTTTAGTTCCAGTTTAACCTCTAGAAAACTGCTGACATGGTTTTGGAGAAGCTGGAGAAGCCCCTCTACAGAGGACTAAAGAAGCTGAGAAACCAGTGGGAGGGAAGATTCCAAGCTCAACTGTGAAAGCCACACAGCTCCAGGACCATCCCCACATCCCTGAGAAAATGAATCAAAACAGGTAACAGAAGTCAAGAAAAATGGAGAGGGCAGGGTGTTCAAAACCACACGAAGAAAGATTTTTTAAAAATTAAAACCTTCAACAGTCATTTTTTTTTAAGATTTTTAATTTATTTTTGTGAGGGGGAGAGAGAGAGAGAGGGAGAGAGAGAATGAGAGGGGAGGGGCCGAGGGAGAAGCAGACTCCCCACTGAGCAGGGAGCCTGATGCAGGGCTTGATCTGAAGGCAGATGCTTAACTGACTGAGCCACCCAGGTGCCCAAAACCTTCAATAGTCTTAAATCATGCAGTAAGATGTGCCTATTCATACGTAGATCCTTATCTCCTTAAATATAAAAAAATCTTATGTGGCAGTATTTTTAATATTCTAACTTCTTACAAACTTCAAGTATTTCATGACTTTAGCCTTCACATTTCTCACAAAGACTTCTGCTCATCAAGACTAGAGACAACATTTTGCCATAGAGAGTGCTTTCAACAAATCTCTGTAGAGCTGTTCTCCACTGTCCAACTCTCTTGTCACTTGACTTGAGTGAATACAGAGATAAAGGACAAGGGAAGGGGCAAGGCCCTGTTAGCTTTCAGACAGCCCCAAAGGAAGAAACGTATGAACATTTTCATACTCATGGCTTTCAGAGACGTCTGAGAGACTCTGTGCACTCATTTCTTTTTCTTTTCTCTTCTACAGCTCCCTCCACCTTGTTCTTTGAAATAATCCTGAGACGGCTTAGTGACACAGCCTATGGGCAGATGTGTGGCGGACCTTTCTTCTAAGTGCGTAACCGAGAGGTCTCTCTCCTACAGGAATTCTCAGATGCCAAGAACGATGTTTCCTGTGACCTAATGATTTTCCATAGTAGTTCTATTCAAGAGGTCTTTTCCCCTGTATAAGTTCTTGGATGTTGACTGCGGTGGGCGGGTGCAAAAGGTCTTCCCACATATCTTACGCTCAAGGAGTTTCTCTCCAGCATGAATTCTTCGATGCCGAGTGAGCAATGAGCCGCAGCTTAAGGCTTTCCTCTACTCATTGGGTTCCGAGTGTTTCTCCCCAGCACCGCTCCTCAAGTGTCAAGGGAAAGGAAAGCTGTTTCAAGGGCTTTCCCACGCCATTTGCACTCAATGTTTCCTTTCCCTAGTGTGGATGGTCATAGGCCGGATGAAAGCAGAGTGGTAGTCAAAGGCCTTTCCACACTCACTGCACTCACAGAGCTTCTCTCCAGTGCGACTCCTGGTGTGTCATGTGAGGGAGAAGCTGTAGCAAAAACCTTCCCCACATTCTTTACACTCATAGGGCTTTGGTGCAGTGAGGGTCTTACCGTGTTGGATAAAGTCAGAGTGGAAGGGGAAGGTCTTTCCACATCCACTGCACGTATAGGGCTTCTGTCCAGTGTGAATCCTCCTGTGTCGAGTTAAGGAAGAGTCGTAATGAAAGGCTTTCCCACACTCTCCGTGCCCAAAGAGTTTTTTGTCATTGTGGGTCATGTAATGCTGGACAAAAACAGTGATAGCGGAAGGTCTTTCTACATTCACTGCACTTAGAGGGCTTCTTGCCACTGTAGATCTGCTGGTGGAGTGTGAGGTGTGACCTCCAGTTAAAGACCTTCCCACACTCTATGCACTTATAGGGCTTCTCCCCAGCGTGAATCCTCATATGTCAAGCAAAGTCTACGTTTTCACATGTGGCATTCCTAAGGCTTCACTCCAGTGTGAATCTGCTGATGTCGAACAAGGAGGCAATTCTTGTCGCACACTTTCCTGCATTCTTTGCATTTGTAGAGGGTCTTCCCTGCATGAACCAGTGTCTTTACTTGGTGCCTATGAGTCACAGTCATGAATAGCATCTCCTGCAGCATCTTGCTTCTGGAAAACTCTTGAATGCAGACTCTCATCTGTCCCCAACCTGTTGTGTTCAAGGCTCATCTTCTCCAGGAGGGCCTCCTTGTGGCAGACTGTAACTGGTCTCAAGTGCCTTTCCTGCATTCTCAACAGCCCCCCCGATCTCTGGTTTGCCCCAGCGGACCTGCTGGCTTCCTGAGTCTTCCCTGAAGCAAGACCTCCTAAGACAAAGCAGGCTGGTCTTGGGTTTAAACTGTAACCTGGACAGGTGCTTCAGCAAAGACCTCTCTCTGTCTCTTACCGGTGCTTCAAACTGTGAGGTCAACACTGGTTTGGGAATTGAATGCTCCAGTGAGACCAGGGGTCTGCAGGTCTCCAGCAGTACTTCCCAGAATAAGGCCCTCTGGGCCTGGTCCAGCTGCCTTCATTCCTTCCAAGTGAAGGTCATGGACAGGCCCAAACACTGCTGCCTGGAACACCACCACAAGCTAACAAGACAGAAGGTGCACACGGCACCACTTCCACCAGCACAGAGCATGCCTGCAACTACAGATACCAGAGAGCACTGCGCCCAGCCACAGCTTTGGGACTACAAGTCCCAGGGGGCTTCAGTTTCACTTTTTTTACTTCTGGGAACTGAACCCTCAGTTACCCTGGAAGGAAGGTCATACATGCGGTAGGAAGTGTGCTCCAGTTGGGCCAGGGAGAACCTCCAAACACGCACTCAAATATGCATGTGAACATGCATGCAAGGAATTTGGTCATACAGGGAATGGGGCGAGTCCTACTTGCCATTCTATTCTATGCACTGACCCACATAAAACTGTACACAGGGGCTGGGTATTAAAGTCAGTCCAGTCCAAATACTGGGTGTTGGAGAAGGCATGGAAATTCAAGATCTCTTATGTTGTGTATGGTTCTGTCATTATTAGTAAAACTGCTTTGAAAAAGTTTGGCTTTGCTTCCTACCAGTCTTTCCAAAGAGAAGCTTTTTCACGTGTTCCACAGGAGACATGTACAAGAATGTTTACAACAGGGGTGCCTGGGTGGCTCAGTCGGTTAAGCAGCTGCCTTCAGCTCAGGTCATGATCCTGGGGTCTTGGGATCGAGCCCCATGTCCGGCTCCCTGCTCAGCGGAGAGCCTGCTTCTCCCTCTCCATCCACCTGCCACTCTACCTACTTGTGCTCTTTCTCTCTCTCTCTCTCTGTCAAATAAATAAATAAAATCTTAAAAAAAAAAAAAAAAAGAATGTTTACAACAGCAGACACCTGGAGGGAGTTCAGGAAAGAGGGTGGATAAACGGCTTTTCCACAGAATGGAACACTACTCAGCAGTCAGAGACTGTTCTAGACTAGGCTGTAGCAGGGAATTGGAAGCATCACAGTTGACATTGCAGAATCCTGGAGTTAAGAGCCCAGCAGTGCCAAGTCCCTCTGGAACTGGTGAGGAGTGGAGGCCATCGTGGGGAGGATGGTGAGAGCAGTTTGAGCAAGACCCTGATCCACTGTCCTCCCCCGCCCAAGCTGGAACTGGTTATGACCATGAAGAGTGGATCTTGGAACTAGAGAAGGAGAGGCTAATTTGAAGGTTCTGGTAAGCAGTAGAAAGAAGAGGACTGAGGGTCATTGACACTCTGAGTGTTGGGACTTCTGCCTGTTGTTGCAGCTGTTTTGAATGGTTTCTGAGAGTATGGCCAGCTCAAGACAAGAGAGCTAAAGATACCACCATTACAGGACCCCCAGTGAAATGGCTTGACAAGGTGACTTTCAGCCAATACTTAAACTTTGTTTTATTTTTCTGTCTTCTGTGCTGGCCAGAGCCTCCATCTACAGTGTTGAAGAGAAGGGGTGATAGCAGATGCTCTTTTCATTTTCCTGATGTAAAAAAATATATAATATTTCATAATCAAGATTGTGTTTCGTATGGATTTGTGTTGATATCACCTGCTTGATCACTTTCAGAACAGATGTAAATATTAGGGTTAGAGAAATGAAGGACTAGACAAACACATCACCTGGGAAAAGCCTGTAGAGTTTTCTCATCCATAGAATTTGTCGGAAGTCAGTGCAGTGAGGATACAAGGCAGAGAGGTCAACTGTATTCTCTAGACAGTGGGACCCTCCCCAGAATGGGAGGCAAGAGTAGATGGCCATGACGAAGGCAGCTATGCATGAGCTGGTCTGAATAGATGCTGGACTGCCTTGCCCAGGACAGGTGACCCCATTAGTCTTAGGATGCTACACATTTGAGACAGAGTTCTCTCCAGCAGTGGTTCTCCAAGTGTGGTCCTTGGTCTCAGTTGCATCCACTTTTAAGAGTTCAAGAAAGACTGACCACTAAATACTGACATCATAACCATGATAGTGTGGGCAATTACAAAATGAGTTAGCTTTGCTTCTTTAAAAAGTCTATTTTTTTTTCTTTAGTGAATCTATCTTTCAGTATATGGTTTCAATAATATGGAGCAGTTTCTGAAATGATTAATATTTGCAGTCATTTGAGCCATCAGTAGCAATGCTTTTAAGTAGCCTGAGTATCTTAGCCGGGAGTTGGTACAAATTAGGTCACATCAGAAGCTATGCTATACTCAAAGTCAGCTACTAGCAGTTCTCAAGGGCTTCTCATGAGGCTCCTGTATCAGCTGGGGCTACTCCAGTCGACAACCAGTGTGAGTGCAGACTGTCACCTGCACGTTTTGGTCCTTGGACACACCCATGGGGAGAGTGTCCACCACTATTCGTCTGCCTCTCTTTAGCACTGTAGTCCATGCATGAGTATAGACTTTTTCTCTCTTAGACTAGTCCATGAGTTTAATAAGACTTTGCTGAAGGCTGGGGATGGCAAGGGGCTTCTGTACAAAGAATAACTCACAATCGACTACTAGCTATGATTGTTCTTAAAGCCCTCAGTTCCTAATCTGTCCTCCTGGGGCCTCCATAGGACTGCATTTCTGTTCAGAGCACATTCTTCCCCCTTAAGGAAGAACCCAGGTTTTCTCTAACACCCAGAAACACCTCAAACATGCCTTAATTCCCCAGAATCTAGGCCCAAATCAAGGGGCAGGGAAAGGAAGGAGTTTCCTTCTCAACTCCATCTTAGGCCTGTCTTCCCCATTTTCTGTTCCTGCCTTTTACTTTTAAGGAGGACTGATTTGGTGTAGTATCTACTTCCTTTAGTGGAAACTCTGCCCCCATCCACACAATATTGCCTTATGTTTCCATTAGTACATCCCTTTAGGACAAAATAGAGCAAAATTCATATGAAATATACGTACTTACTCTAATGGGTTGATTGCATCTCCTGCAAAAGATGTTGAGGTTCTAACCCCCAGTACATATAAATGTGGTTTATTTGGAAATAGGATCTTGGCAAATGATCAAGTTAAGATTGAGGTCATTAGGGTAGATCTTAGACTAATCTGACTTGTCCTTATAAAAAACTCAGAAAAAAAGAGCTGCTTTCATTGAAAAGAATGATTATGATGGGAAAGAATAATGTTTTCAACAAATGGTATTGTGACAACTGGATCCATATGCAAAAGAAAAAAACTTGGATTCTTACCTCACATTATACACAAAAATTTACTCAGAATGAATCATAGACCAAAATGTAAGAGCTGAAACTATAAAACTCTTAGAAAAAATAGGTGTAAATTTCTGTAATCTTGGTTTAGGTAATGGCGTCTTAGGCATGACACCAAAAGCATGAGCAACAAAAGAAAACATAGATAAATTGGGTCTCATTCAAATTAAAAACTTCTGTGCTTCAAAGGATACCACCGATAAAGTGAAAAGATGACCCACGGAATAGGAACAAATATTTACAAATTATATATTGACAATTGTATAACTTTTACAACTTAATCATCAAAAAGCAAAAAAGCCCATGGGCGCCTGGGTGGCTCAGTTGGTTAAGCGACTGCCTTCGGCTCAGGTCATGATCCTGGAGTCCCAGGATCGAGTCCTGCATCGGGCTCCCTGCTCAGCAGGGAGCCTGCTTCTCCCTCTGACCCTCCCCCCTCTCATGCTCTATCTCATTGTCTCTCAAATAAATAAATAAAATCTTTAAAAAAAAATAAAAATAACTAATACCACATATTTGTTTTAAATAGTACTGTGTATTGTTATAAATAACCTTGCATATTAAAAAGAAAGGAAGCCGGGCGCCTGGGTGGCTCAGTTGGTTAAGCGACTGCCTTCGGCTCAGGTCGTGATCCTGGAGTCCCGGGATCAAGTCCCACATCGGGCTCCCTGCTCGGCAGGGAGTCTGCTTCTCCCTCTGACCCTCCCCCCTCTCATGCTCTATCTCATTGTCTCTCAAATAAATAAATAAAATCTTAAAAAAAAAAAAAATAACTAATACCACATATTTGTTTTAAATAGTACTGTGTATTGTTATAAATAACCTTGCATATTAAAAAGAAAGGAAGCCGGGCGCCTGGGTGGCTCAGTTGGTTAAGCGACTGCCTTCGGCTCAGGTCGTGATCCTGGAGTCCTGGGATCGAGTCCCGCATCGGGCTCCCTGCTCGGCAGGGAGTCTGCTTCTCCCTCTGACCCTCCTCCCTCTCATGCTCTCTGTCTCTCATTCTCTCTCTCACAAATAAATAAAATCTTTAAAAAAAAAAAAAAAGAAAAGACAATAACAAGTATTGGCGAAGACGTGGAGAAATTGGAAGCCTCATACACTGCTGGTGGGAATGTCAAATGGTGCAGCCATTTTGGAAAAATATTCTGGTCGTTCCTCAAAAATTGAAACATGGAGTTACCATTTCAACTTTCCCAAAGGCTAGGTTATTTTGTTTTAAATAACACCTGATATAGGACGTCCACAGTGTCATTCAGGCAGCATTTCCACAAGCTCCGAGGGGATCTCCTTCCAGAAGCCCTGAGTGAGTGGAGATCATTGGCCTTGCAACTGTTTGAAGAGTCTAAATCCATCCTCAGAGAGGGCACACGTCTGCAGACAGGGTCTGCTGAGGTCCACGTTTGTCTGCTATGCAGATAAAATTCCATAGGACCACACAGAATATTTAGCTTCTTGGAACCACAGCAGATCCATGACCTCTACTTCTCTGTGGTGTCCACTTCTTCTAGAAAGTGTTTCCATGTGATGAA